AAATTACAGGTAGTAAGGAAATAAACTACTAACTCTTTTATGCTACGTCCGCACTTAAACGGGTATTTTTGAAAACGCAGCTGTTTCGTCCACACGTAAACGGCGTTTGGAATCACTCCTTAAAACTCCCTTTTTGCGTTTCCGTGTGGACGAGGAATACAGAGTTTATCACGCAACGTCAAAGGTATGTGCCCTTTTTCACGTCAGGCTGTGCGCTACGTTATTGTTTACATGAGATGAATTGCAGAATGGGAGATAGAGACAAAATACTGTTAATCTGACAATCTTCAGGTTTTACACGCAGTTACTGTCCCTCCATTTACAAAGGCAGAGGCGTCACGGTGTAATTATTTTACATGTAGTTGTTTTTTTCCTGTGTAATAATGTTCAACATTGCTATCAATAAATTTTTCAATCCCTCTGCAAAATGGGTTCAAAAACATAAACAACTGTTGGATGTTGTTTGTCCGTGATTTGTGCAGGGGGAACAAATCATGGCAGGATCAGCTTGATGTTATTTGTATCCCGCTGTAACTTTACTGTATAAAGAGCTAACATCTCCAAAATGTCAGGAGTAGTCATTACAACAAGTGTTTGTGAACTAAAAATCAAGAATGTGAGATACTGTTTGTCCGTAATTTGAAGATCCCAGCGCTGCTCCCGACCAAGGGAAAACCAATTCTGCAGGGGAGACCTACCTTGGCACTTGTGCAGGTGAAACCAAAGGGAAGATATGCTTCACCATATTTTCTAGTCTTTGGCTTAGAATGAAGTTGGTTTGGAAACATATTCAGCTATGCTTCATCTCCTGCTTTGCGTTTCTGTGGGCGCCCCGTGCTAGCAGTGTCCAAGCTTTGTTGTTTTTTCATATCTCATAAGATTTTTCATATCTTAAGGCAGACTTTGGGAAGGTCTGCCTTAAGATATGATGTAATATATCCGCTCTGGCTGCTGCTGCTTGCTTTTACAGCTGGATTTTGAACCTAATCACCTCATCTAAGTATTATAAGTGCTGTCAGAGTCAAGATGTGTTTTATTAACCAGTATAGACGTTAGTGTAACAGTAGATGATGTTTAACACTTTTACAGCTGTACTTTGAACCGAATCGAAGTATTATATGGGCTTTGAGAGTCAAGCCTTTGTGCTGCTTTTGTGTTTTATTAACCAGTCTAGAAGTTGAGCTGATTCACGGTGTTGCTGCGCTTCTTCATTGTTTTGTGTGTGCTCTTCTCCGTGAAGGATCAACCTGTGTAAGTCCACTAACGTAAAGCAGAGGTAATTGTGCGATTGTAATCTGGCTAGTAGACAAATTTATTACACAGCAACTCATATAGTCACTATAGTCACTTTTTTGTTTTTTAACCAGCAACAATTGCCTCAAGATAATTTGTATAATACAAGAGGGGTGATAGGATCTGGAAATTCTTTTGTTATGGTAGCTAAATGTTATATTAAACACAACCATAAACAGTGCTACACATAAGCAGACTTAATAAAATCAAATTAAATTACAAAAAAGGAAACTAAGTAAAAAAAATAAAAATAATTTTCCTTAAGGGTCATGCTTAGTAATTTAGTGTAATTAACAACAGCATTTCTCTCTGTTTTATGATTTTCCTTGTAGTTACTTTCGTCATGCAGCTGGTGATCCGTCGGTACCGTCCTGCAGACAAGGACACAGTGCTCACCCTCTTCAGTATTGGCACCTTGGAGCATATCCGTCCATGTTTCTATAACGCCATGACCAGTTCTCTTTACTTCACTATCACCCCGACTCTGTGTGTTGCTGGTTATCTCCTTGGCTCTGTGTTTGGGGCTGTGCTGTTCCCAGCAGCTTGGGTAGGTCTCATCTACTACTGCTGTCATGAAGTATATGCACACTACGTCAGGTATAAACTTCGCACCGACATGCAGGACATCCCTAGGAATTTCCTCAGCAGACCTGATGACTGTTTCTGGGTGGCTGAGGCCGAGGTTGGAGCGAGAGCCCAGGTTGTTGGTATGGTGGCTGTGGTGGCTAAACACAGTGGGACAGAAAAGTATGGGGAAATGTTCAGAATGATCATTTCCTCACAGTATAGACGGATGGGCCTCGGCTTAAGGTTGACTCAGACCGCAGTTGACTTCTGTAAAGAACGGGGCTTCTCCAAGGTGGTGTTGGAGACTAGCTCCACCCAAATGGCAGCCGTGGCCCTATACAGCAAAGTGGGGTTTAACCGTCTCCAGTCTCATATCAAAGCACAGGCAGCTCATTGGATCTTTTCACTGGCCAGGGTCACGATTATAAGGATGGAAAAATACTTGTAAACGTAAAATAACACTCATCAGCAATGTGTTGTTTTCATGCTTGGCTCCTCTTTAACAGTGGTTTAATATTTGGCAATGGGTAAACCTGACTGTAACCAAAACCCTCTGGTTTAGGTGTAAAAAAAAAAGCCAAATTTGATGTACACTGTAGGGCTCTATGAACAGATATGAATGTAAGGAACAAGATGTTGTTACTAAAAACTTTCTGGTTTCCTCCTACTACACCATGATTCACTAACAGTTAATTCTTACATTGTGTACTTTTCAGTGATGATTTCACATAATCAGTTGTACTGACCACTTTTAACAGTTTTAATTACTTAATTTTTTTTTTATTTAAAAAAATAAAGAAAGTGAAAAAAATATGTTTCAAAATCTCTGTATACGCCCGCAGGCGTTAGTAGTTGTAACAAATAGTGTTTGAAAATTCATAACTCTTATTATGCGAGAGATAAGGTCTGATGTATAATGTTTTCCTATTAATTACCAATATTTGGAGAAACATTTTAAAATGTTAAAACTGAGATACAGTACACACAACATATTGTAAGCACATGATACAAAGTATGTAAAAATCTTAATAACAAGGATTTTAATTTGCTTATGAAATAAAGATTTGATTTTTAAGACTGATAACCTTGAAAATGAAATCACAAGTCTAAATTCAGTATGTTGTACCCAAATCCATACTGTGGATATGGATGTGAACAGCAGAGGGCGCTACTGACCTGAGTAACGCTGAAGCTCCTTTGATAAAAATAATTTATTTCTGATATTATACAGCATTCACTTCCTTTTCTACAAGGAAGTATTAGATGTTTAAAATATATCTGCAACAGTGCTGGAAAGTAAATACAGTACATTTGCTAATATGCCGTTTAAACTCAAGTTTTACATCTAGAATATGTTGTGATTGGCTATGATGCAGCATGTGAAACAATAACAAATGAGCTAGTGCACCCAGTTCATGGGTAATCACAATTGTTTTGAAACTCACTGACTGCTGTAGATGTTGTCCATTAAAACTTCCAACATTTTAAAATGTGATTTGATTTGTCATTCATCACAATAGAAAGGAAAATAATAGTATCTCCTGCAAAAGTCCATTAATAATAACTTTAATTTGTATAGTGCCTTTCAAAAAACCCAAGGATGCTCAGCTAAAAAGCTAGAGGTTGAAGGTTTTGTTGAAGAGATGAGGTTTGAGAAGTCCCATGGATGAGGACCGTAGCATCCGAGACTGTGTGTATGGTTCCAGGAGGTCAGAGACATATTGAGGTGCGAGGGCATTGAGGGATTTGTAAGTGAGAAGAAGAATCTCGTAAGTAATGTGTGACTTGACCGGAAGCCAGTGGAGATTAATGAGGGTGTGGGTAATATGTTCCCAGAGCTTAGTGCCTGTTGGAAGCCTTCCAGACTGTTAAAAGCCTTCTGGACATACTGGAGGCTATCCAGGGCTTTAGTGGAAATCCCAAACAGGACTGCATTTCAGTAGTCCAGCTTGGTGGTGACAAATGCATGGATGAGTCTCTGCTATAGAGTCAGTGAGTGATGCCCGAATTCAAGAGATGTTCATTAGGTGGAAAAAAGCTGTTTAGGTGACAGATTTGACATAAGCATGGAATGAAAGAGTGGAGTCTAAATTGACACCCAGATTGCAAACCTCAGAGGAAGGTTAAATAAGGAAGCCGTCTATGTCAATGTGTACAGTGGCTTGCAAAAGTATTCGCCCCCTTGGACTTTCTCACATTTTGTCACATTACAGCCACAAACATGAATCAATTTTATTGGAATTCCACGTGAAAGACCAATACAAAGTGGTGTACACGTGAGAAGTGGAACGAAAATCATACATGATTCAAAACATTTTTTACAAATAAATAACTGCAAAGTGGGGTGTGCGTAATTATTCAGCCTCCTTTGGTCTGAGTGCAGTCAGTTGCCCATAGACATTGCCTGATGAGTGCTAATGACTAAATAGAGTGCACCTGTGTGTGATCTAATGTCAGTACAAATACAGCTGCTCTGTGACGGCCTCAGAGGTTAGGAGTAGCGGATTGAAGAGACAGGAGGAGGTTGTCGTCAGTAGAATACGTACAGGCCACTGCTTTTTAAATGGTACTCTTTTTAGTAGTGATGGGCAGATGAAGATTCATGAAGCACTGAAACTTTTCATCCAATTGGTTCACCCCAGCGCAAAGCGTCTTGAAGCTTCATTTGCTCTAGTAGGACATCTACTGGACGTAAAAATATTAGTTGGCATGAATTTGAAGAGTGTGGCCTTTTGCACACAGCCTGTAAATGTCAACAACAAAAGGAGTGTGTAAAACATCTATATTGTAGTGATGGCAGCATACTGTATATTTATACTGGCAGTATGGAAAATTATCATTTGAAAATGCTTAAAATGGAAATGATCATTTACTGTGAGGTGTGGTTGGGGTGTGGACAGTGGTTGTGCTTTTGTAACG